TCCTCGCCCTTCCTTCTGGGTTCCCAGGATGGACCTCTGTGGCTTGAGAGGGAAATAAACCTCATTCCCCAACAGACCCTCTGTCTGGAACTTGCCTCTTGTCACTGAGTCACCAGTAAATCTGCCTTGGTTCTCACTTTGAAGTGACTCAAGTTTTTCAGTAACAGGGTTGGATTTGTGGAGTTGCCATTTCCACAGGATGATGTAACCAAAATACTGTATGCAATATTCCCATAGCATTACTGGAAGGCCATTTAGTTAAGGTTTATTTTTAAAAGTTTCACTGGAATTGTCTGTAGGTATGAAATGTCAACATTGACCGAGTAAGATACCAGATGATTTAGTGCTATGTCAGAAATAGCTCAACACCAAAGTCCCTCAGCCCTATTAGCAAATGACCCACTTCTGGGAATCTACCTGATAATCCAAAGTACAAAAAGGGCTGCATGCAAAAGATGCTCACGGTGACATTATTCAGGCTGGCACCACGGCCACCCATGGTGGCCACAGGAGGGAATTCTCAGCTCTGGGAGAGAAGCCGTGTTAGAGGTGATTATAAACAATTGGTGTGTTTTAAGAGGAGGGAAAAACAAAGCAGGTACCAAATGGCATGTACACCTTTGCATAAAATTCAAATAATGCACAAAAACTCCCTAGGAATTGGCTGAAGTGGTAACGGGGTGGCGTGAAAGAGGAAGGTCTTTTCCTTCTCTACTTTCCAGTATGTATATTTTTGTATTATGGTTACATTGTTATTTGCAATGGAAGAAACAGAAATCATTTAAAAATCCGAAATGCTTCCTCTACTACACGAATGTGGTCATTGGAGTGATTTTCAGACAGTTCATTTCTAGCGTCAGCCCTCATGACATGCAGGTATCTGGAGGGTCTGAGAGAGACTCCCCCTTCAGTTATGTATCTAGAAGTAAGCTTTTGCTGAAAGAAGAAAAGTTAATTCAGAATTCAGGAATCTGAAGGACACTTTGAAGTTTAGCTAGAAATGTTTTCTTTTCTCTAACGGGACTATCTATGTAGCAGCAAGCTAGGTATTCAGGCACCAGCTGCCGCGTTTGGCATAGGAGGGTGATGAGCTAATCAGAAAGAGAAGGTGCAGCCCAGGAGATACACTGACTCAATCATCTGATGGACTGTGCTTCATGGTGAGAAATTCATTAAAGATCTATTAGCTTGAGTTACAGTAGCCTCCAGAGCTTGCCAAACCAGCACTACTAAATGATTTGGTCACTTCACTATAAGTTCTTATTAAAAATCAATCAGGCATAACTGCCAACTCTTACCATTTTAAAGGAAGTGTAGCTAGAATGCTCTTTAAAGGACAAAATTTTCTTTTTTTCTGTTTTAGTAAGAAATGAAGACTTTCAGAACAAATATAATTCATTGTAAATTACAAGCATTAAAAAATATCTGACAACAGGCGACTGAGTGATTTAATTGCACTGTAATAAGATAACCAAAAAAACCCAAACCTGTAGCCATCGAGTCGATTCTGACTCATGGCAACCCTCTAGGACAGAGTAGAACTGCCCCATATGGTTTCCAAGGAGCGGCTGGTGGATTCAGACCGCAGACCTTTTGGTTAGCAGCTGAGCTCTTTACCACTGCACCACCAGGGCTCTGATAACAAGAGAGCCCTATGGTTTCTGGTTGAAGATCTTACACCTCCACCACCACCACATCCTTGCAGAACAACAAAACCCTTTAGCTTAGCAAAAATAACACGATTTTTTTTTTTTTTTTTTTACTGCAAGCCATACAAAATGAGTTACTGTAACCTGACGCATTGCACTTATAGCAAAACTAGACTAAGTACATTTGGTCTCAGCAGCGTTTTTCTTGGAGCAGAAGGAGGACACCTTTTAAGGGGCTGCAGGCAAGGTAGCAGCCCGTGCAGCCATTTCAGCTGGGAGACACCCCCTCGAGCTGGCTTCCCCAGTCACTGGCAGCACTAAGCTCCTTTGCAGCAGAGATTACAGCAGTAATGCAGCCTAATTCCCAGGCTGGGCATCGGGGCAGGTGCAGTTGCAGGAGGGCTGGGCTGCAGTGTTCTTGATGACAGGAAAGCCACAAGAGGAGATGTTAGAAGAAGCCTGGGGCCTGGATGGAGTTCCCAGCCGTGGAGAACAGTTCACAGGTGGCCAGGCAGCCCAGCTGGGGTGTCCCTTTCTCAGAGAACAGTCCTCAAAGGCCAAGAGCCCCAGCATCAGAGAAGTGCTTCTGAAACACAGCCTTTTCCTTATCCTAACCACTGTCCTTAGGAGAGGAGTGTGGTGACTGTGCTCACCGACACCTCAGCGAACAGTGATAAAAGGAGGTGGCTGCAGAGAATAACCAAACCTCAGGCCATCTGTCCAGGGGCACAGGGCTGAGGCTCCATGTGGCTGCTGTTTAGCTCAGTGTTACGCGGGTAAGCACCCCAATACCCTGGCAGGTGGGCAAGTGAGCATTCAGAGGCTGCTGGGGCAAGGAGTGTATCAGCAGTGCCACCTGCATCTGCTGTCTGGGGACAAGAAGCCGCATGTCCCCGCCTGGCTGAGTCAGGGGGCTAGGATTTGAGGGCTCTGTCAAATAGGATGTGGCAAGAGGGCTGGACAGGAAGGAAGCTCAGACTGACTCTGCCGACTGAGTTCAAGAACTTGACCGTATACAACCCCATCTATAATCTAGTGAGGGACGCGTCATCTGATCATATAATTACTACAGCTGTGGTACCTCCACAAGGAGGGCACAGGATGGTGTTAGAGAGGACGACGGGTATGTGGGGGTGGGGGTGGGGGGTGTGGCCTGGCGGGGGGGCTTATGGGGAAAAACAGGTCCCAGAGAGGGGAGTGCCATCTGTTTCTACCCTGCCCCTTCTGCTCTCAGCACTGAAAGGCAATGACTGCCCTCGATCCCAGGGTCTGCCTACTTCTGCAGCTAAGAGGGACTATCACAGACCTGCATTGTGTGACACAGGCCTTCATCCCCAAACCCACTGGTCTTGGAATGATACGGCCCCGGCAAGAGTCCTGGAAAAGCAGCCCCGACATCCAGAAGTGAGGTGCAGATTACTAACGCCTACCTGTATCCTCTGCCACAGGAGACAGGCTCTCCTGATGGCACTGTTGGGGCAGGGCTCTGTGTGTCTGACCGCCCGCCCCTCCTAACACCACTCCACAGGTCACCCCAGAGAAACCAGCGCTGCCTGCGGCCAAGGCAGCGCCTTCGTGAGGCCAGTACAGGCGCCCAAGACTCTCCTGGCTCCCCATGAAGGCCCAAGCAAGCACGTTCTTCCCTCTTCTTACAAACTTTAAAAAATTATACGTATGCTTGTCTATACATATACCTCCCCCAGGATATTCAAACACTGGGAAACCCTGGTGGCATAGTGGTTAAGAGCTTGGTTGCTAACCAAAAGTCGGCAGTTTGAATCCACCAGGCGCTCCTTGGAAACCCTATAGGGCAATTCTACTCTGTCCTGCAGGGTCACTATGAGTCGGAATCGACTTGACGGCAATGGGTTTGGTTGGGTTTGGTTTGGTTTGGTTTTTGACAGTCTTTGTGGGAAAGGCCTGAGAGCTGAATGATTGTGCATTGTGATCCCTCCCCTCTTTTCAACCATATTCACACATTACTCTTGATTTTTAAATACTGTTAACAAGAAATTATCTAGTTTGTGGGGTTATGGGCCATTTCTTTTTTTTTTTTTTTTTTCTTTTCATTTTCTTAATACTTTTCTGTATTAAAAGTAATGCTTATTAAGAAAAAGTAGAAAGTAACAAGTGAAACAAAAAGGTTTAACAACAAACAAAAAAATCTAGCTGCTGCCGATTTAAACTCATGGCGACCCCATATGTGTCACAGAAGAACTGTGTTCCACAGCGTTTTCAATGGCTGGTTTTTCATAAGTAGATTGCCAGACCTTTCTTCCAAGGTGCCTCTGGGTGGGTTTGAACCACCAACCTTTTGGCTAGTTGCTGAACACTTAACCTTTTCACTTTAAGGGAAAAAGGGATTGGATTATTTCCAGGCCATGAGTGGAAGGCGCACAGGATCATGTCCAACCAATGAATGAGGGGCCTGGGCCTCGGGTGGGCGTGGGGGAGGCCGGGAGGGAGGGCATCCATCAGGGAGGGCTGCGGCCCAAGGCACACAGGTGGGGAACCAAGCAGTGGGGCTCGGGGGAGTGTAGGTCCGGCTGCTCCACGGACACAAATGCCCGATATGCCAGGGCACCACCAGGAACAAGGGAGCCAGTCCTGCCCTCAAGGGGCTCCCGTCTATAATCTAGTGATGGAGAGGTCACCTGATCATGTGATTACTACAACCGTGGTACCTCCCAAGGAAGGGCACAGGACGGGGTTAGAGTGGACGATGGGTGGGGGTGGTGGTGGGCTGCCACAGTCTACAGGGCTGGGAAAGCATTCCTGGGGAAACGACCTTTCAGCTGGCTCCTGCAAGATGAGTCAGGTTAGCCATCCGAGTGGTACAGGACAGAGTTCAAGGAAGTACACACAAAGGCCCAAGGGGGTGAGGTGCTGCCTCCTCCATAAACCGAGCCCAGGGCGGCTGCAGGCTCCCTGAAGGGCGGGGAGATGGCTGACAAGAGAGCTGAGGCCAGACTGAAGAGGGCCTGGGTGCCCACTCTGGGGGCAGGGGAGCCCCTCGAGCTAGGAGTGATCCTGCAGCCAGATCACCCTCCCCGCACACATCTGTCGTCCACTCGAACACCATCCTGTGCCCTCCCTTGTGAAGGTACCACACAAGATGGACCAGAAGGAGAGAGAACCTTGGAGGCTGCCAGGCACAGGAGGTCAGGAACTGAAGGGATCCCACAGCTACTGTGGAGCAGGAGCCTTGACAAGGGGCCGCGGGGCTTCCATAAACATCAACACAGTTATCAGGAGAGGAACAGACTTCCTTAGGAGCGGGGGCAGGGAAGGCTATGGTGAGTGTTAACCGTAACCAAGATGCTGGACAGACACTTCAGCTTGATAAAGCAATCACTCACGCTCTTTCCCAAATCCCTACTGCTATTATGATAAATAAGGGAGAATTTAAATTACTTTGTCATCAAGATGTATATTATGTTCTTCCTTACTGAAGAAATGTGCTTTTTCCCAAGGAAAACTAAACACTCCCCTAAAGTAAATTGCAATTAGGCTGAATTACAGCAATTCTTAGTGTGAGCACAGTGTCATTATCCTGGGACCTAACTGTCATTACACTGTAAATACCTCTCCTGGGAGCTTAGTTCTCTTCCACAAAAGCTCGCTACCTTGGCATCAAAGACGTGACTTTGACCATTGGGCTATGCAGCAACTGTGTGCAGTTCTCCCAGCAGCTAGACCCACACTAAGGCCCGAGAAGGTCAGTGCACGCGGCACCCTGGGGGCACTGGTTACATGCAGATTCTGACTGATCCAGTGGGTCTAACGGGCCCAGGAAGGTGGCTTGTATCAAGTGCTCTGGAAGGTCTTTGGATCTAGCTGGAAAACTAGTGCTCTAGAGAACTCGGAGCCAACAAGCTGAGAGGGAACGACCAAAGACAACTTCACACTAGGAAAAAAGAGGAAGAGGCATTTAGCTTCACCCCACTCCCAAACTGCAGGTCACATACACATTTCCCTCAAATCACGTGAAAAACGTTCTGAATCAGCGTTTAAGTTTTTTACTCTCCGAATGTAATACAATTTTTGAGCTAAAATAGGAATAATGAGACAAAATGTTTTGGAAAAGTACAATAGAAAAATACTGTTCACTGGTTTATTTTTCCAAATGAGCAACAGGCTATTTACAAAGAAGCAGATCTCCAATGATGTATATTAAAATGGCAATCCTATTATTGTTTGAAATCTAAATGAAAAAAAATTTATTAAGGCACATTTGATCTGTGAGTTTAAAACAAACTTAAAGTTTCTGCAGTAATGACAGATTCATTTTACTTTTGCTCCCCAAAACATGTCAGCACCAGAACTGTCAAAAAGAACACTTAATATTTAGTAAAACAGTGAGGAATGTAAAAATTAAGGGCGGGGGGGATCGTTTTCAAAAGGAAATCTTTGGAGATCAGTTTACTGCAAACCAAACATACTAAACAGTGAGTCACACTCCTGATACACATAAATACTAATAACAGGTACTCGAGAAATGACAGAGCGCTACACAATGGATATTAAATAAATTAAAGGTACTTCAGAAAGAAACGATAAAGCAAAACAGTAATTAAAGAATGAAATAACCATCTCCACCAATGTAACACAGACAGGATGAAGTGAACAAAACCAGGTACGTTTTCCCTCAATGTTTTCATGTGTTTTGTTGTTGTTTTTAAGCTCACACACATTAGATTTATTACAGTAACTCTTCTGTGCCATTCTAAATATTAATATTTTACCCTTTAAAGAGAAGGGTCAGGAAGAGAGAAAAATACTAAATAAATCCTTCTTGAAATTTAATACCAGGTCCACTTAAGCCAAACAAATTACGACAAGAACAGCCATCCACCGCATTGTGCTTTCCTCGCCCCCTGCCTTCCAAACGACATGACCACAACCAGCACAGTCTGGGGGAAATAATCAACTGTGCAAAGCCCTCCTGAAGATGATGATACAACTATTAACTTATTTCCTTATTTTACAACTGGAACACGAAATGGCTTTTTTAAAAAATAAAAATCATTGTAAAAAAGACAAAAGGTAGAATCTGTGCAGCGTTAACAGTCACAACAGAACATTTACGAGAGTTACAGTGTTTTGTTACAATAATACTTTGCAGGAATGTTCACGTTTTCTGCCATAGGACCGTAGCAAAGGGGTCTGAGAAGGAAATGTAAAAACACTTTGTTCATCGGGTACATTTCAAGTCATAATTAAGCAGGTCGGCTACATAACGTTCAGCAAGAAGTTGTGTTCAAAGGCAAACATTGATCACATTTTTGTTCAAAAAGCTCAGTCTTAAAGGAGTCCTTTGTAAGAAAATCACTTGTAAAATATATCCTTGTGTGGACTTCAAAAATGGGTCGTACAAAAAATTTCTGAAAAATAAATTAGATAATTAAAAATGTATTTTTCCAGCAGAGCTGGACACTAGGCTGTCCTCACTGAGCCGTTATTATTGCTGCTTTTACTATAACTCGGATCATTTTTTTCTAGCCACATCTCAGCCAGCTGCTGTGTGGACCCATACGTGGAGGCTTTGGATCCCAAGCACATTTTGTATTGCTTGGGATCAAGGTTGGGATCACAAAAGACGGGATGGTGGATGTGTACTACTCCTACTTCCTGGCTTCTAAACGTCTTCAAACCTGCCTGCACCACTTTGTTGAAAAGGTCCACATCCTCGAGCCCCCAGCCCTGGATGGAAACATCAAAGCCACCCACTCGGACAAGGTCGCCCTTATAAATACATGTAATGCCGAACCCATAGTTTCTCCAGAAGCCAGTTTTTTGAGTAAAGGCAAAATGGTTGTCATTGGGAGCTTTCCCACTATAAACAATCTTTGGATCGTACTGGCTGAAGATGATTGGGAAGTATATTTGTTGGCCCAGAACTGTATTTGCTCTACATCGTTGAAGGAATTCTGTAGTAAACACGAGGTCAACATCACAGAAGAAGAGCAAAGATTCATTATTAAACTGGGAAGATCCTACTTCAAGGGCTAGGGCTCTTGAAAATTCTCCAGACACAGGCAGAATCTGCATGTCAGCCTTAGGATACTTAACGCGATAATCTCTCATCAGTTCAACTTGTTTAGCCTTGTCAGGGTTGGAGTCGGAATTGAAAAGCAGAACAACAAGCTTGACATTCTGATTTGGAATGAGACATGTCTTTTCAAAGTTTCCCATGAATCTCGAAAACATATCAAAGCGTCCAGACAAAGGAATCAATATGTTTATCTTCTTCTCTTTGGGCTCTTTGTGCTCGTTTTTTGATCCAGGGAGCTGAAATGGAACAAGCTTCTTCAGGGAATTGGAGAAAAAGGATAAGGATCCAGATTCTTGGTTAATTTTGTTGGCCAATTCCTTGGCGTCCAGCTCCTCGTGCTCCACAAACTGGATCTTGCTGAAAGTCTGCTGTAAATAGGCATGCCTCCTCACGGGGACTGTCATCTTCTTCCCTTTGTGTTTCTTATACAGAAGCAGCAGGTCTAGGATATACTCGGCCCCGTACATGGGATTGACTCGGCGATAGCCGTATTGTATCTCCTTAAAGTCGATGATGCGCCCCCTGGTCTTGGCATTGGCGTTGATCATCTCCATCACCTGCATGACAATGTCGTCCAAGGCTTCTCTCTGCGCGGAGTCCATTCCTCTTCGAGGCGGCTGACCATCCACAGCTGAGTACAAGTATTTTCCAGTAAGAAACTCCCATTCCAAAATCTCCTCTCGCTGGCGGGGCTGAAACCTCATAAAAGAAGGAGGAATTCCCAGCTGGAGATCTTCTTTGTGAATCTCGGTGTTACTGTACTTGCTCATCAGGACAATTTCTCGGTGGAGCTGTATTGTGCGATGCCGAAGCTCAGCGATTTTGCGACTAAGCATGTAGCTGTGAAGTCTGTACTGGTAGGGTGGGTTTTTGTTGGGGTGTAACGTGATGGCTCGGTGAATCTTACTGTTATGGAGATCTCGGATGTAACCCTTTTTGTTCTGTTCATAATTCTCATAAAAAAGCTGCTGCATCTGTTAAGAAAATAAAATGATAACTATTTTAGTATTACGTGACTGAATGTTCCTCTGTTCTCATATTTTCTTATGTGCCTGCATACACTAAAAAAATATAAATACTAGGAATCTTTCTAAGGGATCTGCAGCACATGAAAGCCCAGACAAAAGCAGTCCAATGAGATTAGAAGATTTATAGATATAAACTGCTTAAGGGAACAAAACCCAAAAAAAAACCATTGCTGTCAAGTCCATTGTGATTCATAGTGACCCTACAGGACAGAGCAGAACTGCCCATAGAGTTTCCAAGGAGCGGCTGGTGGATTCTGGTTAACAGCCGAGTTCTTAACCACTGCACCACCAGGGCTCCTAAATGATCAAGACCTCATCAGTAACCAGAGCTGACTAATACAAATCTGCCAGCAAAGTGGAATTATGAAATAGTTTTTCCCATAAAGACAGTAAACTTAAGATCACAGTGCACCAAGCAAGCACAGCTAAAAAAGAATTACCCCCTACCTCCAGGCCCAGTCCCACCACACCTGACGGACAGGCCCGAGTGTCATGGTTCCCTGCTTGAAGACGGGCACCTTGCAGCTATCTGGAAGAGCTTACCCTGCAGGGCCCTTCCGTAGGAGTAAACTGCATCCCCTCTGGAGGCCAAAGGAGAACTCCAGGATGCGGCCAGAGTACTCTCCTAGGGAGCTTCAGAAAAGGAAAACCAATCACAGGCCCAAAGAGGCTTGTGGTCTAGGGGGACAGGCCACAAGGGTTGAAACCTAGGTTCTACAAGGTAGCGGAAGCGTGCACTTTGACGACTGCTTGCTTCCCCCTGGACTCGGTGCAGCGCAGCAGGTCCGCTGCGCTGGGCAGTGTGTCTCCAGCAGCAGCACACAGCTGGCACAGGAGGACTCAGGACTGCAGGGGCTCCTTATTTCCACTCGACTCTCTGTCGCTGTCCTGGGACACGTTTTGGAGGTACATAAACTCGAGGTCCACCAGCCAAAGTGTTCCCTCAAGTTAGGAAGGGACTATACTAAATTCCTCAGAATAAAGAGTGACTGTGGCTTTGGACTGATTAGTTTATTTGCCTCCGGACAGCTGTATTTCTGAGCCATCTGCAATGGCCATACAAACAGAAAATACAGATTAACATTTTTAAATCCCATTGTCTTTTTCTATACAATACTATATGCTACCAACTAACAGAAACAGTAAGAGAGCAAAGGAGGCAAATACTCCCCAAGAACAGCTTGAAAGAAAATAAATGGTCATCTAATGCCTGGGCGGGTCTGTGCCAAGGGCTGTATGCACCCTGGTGAGCTCACTCATTCTCATGGAACCGTGTGTCTGACCTTCTGATAAACGTCAGCCAGAATCGGAGGCCCTGTCCTCCTTCACTCAGACACCTGTGGGGTCTGTTCTTAGATTAGGAATGAGAATGGATTACAGCACCCTCAGAATTGGGAAGAGTTAAAACTACTCTCAATCTAGAATTCTGTTCCCAGCCAAACTACTCATTGAGAAGAGAAGTATTTTCAGATATTCAAGGACTCCAAACTTATCTTGCATTCATTCCTCTCCAGGAAGCTATGGGATGACGTGTCCCTCCAAAATGAGGGAATACATCTGGAAGGAGGATGACACAGGATCCTGGAAACAGGGGCTCCAACAGAGAAGCAAGGAAAGATAAGCCCCAGAAGACAAGCTTTGCAACGGGCTGAGGGGACAACTAGCGCACATAACAAGGCACTCAGCAGAGAGCTGATGAATTAGGAGAGAAAAATCTTTAAGCAGAGCCAAGTATCAAGAAGTGGTTGAATAATTTCACTGCAGAACAAAGCACTGGTGAGGGCTGGCCACATGATACATGGTAAGTAACACACAGGAACAAGCCTAGGTCCCTCTGACCAGCACATATTTTGAATGTAAAAACCAGTAGCACATTTTAAAGAAAAATATATAACTCTCCAGACAAACGATGTAGTTGTCATTTGCTTTTACTTTTACTCCCCAGAAGCCCAAATATGTGAGTGCACACTTTCTGCTTAGCTATTAGAACCCCATACACTGGGTTGGAGGCGGGAGTGCCTCCAGTGGGAGCTCTCTCTGAGTATATGGTTTTCTTTGCATGACTAACTTCTTCTTCCAAATCTGCGAGGACACCATGTCCCCAAACATTTTCAGGAATACATTTATCAACATATTTTAGAGGCTGTCTCTGGCCATTAATTTCACAGTGACTGAAGTCTAGGCAAGCTTTATCGGAAACACAGAGCGTGCTCAAGATGTAAATATGAAGAAGAGAACATTTTTAAGGCTTGTGGAGGCCTTAAAACCCCTTGAACCATTACAGACTGAGAATTTTTGTTGTAGGTACCTTCTGGCCAAACTCCAAAAGTTTGACTGAAGGGAATGCTGTGCTATATTCATTTTTTTTTTTTTTTTTTTTAATAAAGAGGGTATCTGTTGCAAGGCAAAAGTCCGTGTGCATACATGTTGGGGGAGGGAGCACTGGAGAAAGTGAACTTAAAAATAAAGCTAAGTGTATGCCCACGAAGTAGCCCCAGCAGATCCACTTAGTGCACTAACTAATACTGTTACAATACCGAAGACATGATTGTAAACTTCTTATACAAAGAAGCCACTCACATGACAGGCTGGTTGGCATACATACCTGTAATGATTTTTAAGAAAAATCTAAATAAACGTCAGTGAAACCACTCCCATTCTGAGCCAAGTGTTGACTTCAGTGACAGGTGAGGAGATACAGTCTAACAGGGAGAACAGTGTACCTCCATGTGGAGGGCACGGACAGTGACCTGAGGCCCTGCCCAATCTGCTGTCAGCGCACCTTTTAGTCAATGAGCACACTCCTCAGTTTTCATATAAAGCCTTATAAATAAATGGCTTTGCTGTAGAGGTTGGGAACCATCTTCTTTCTGTCCTCAGTGTGGTAGGGTAGGAGAGGAACACAAAGAAATCAAATATACTCTTCAGATGTCAAGGGGAAAAACTTTTTGAGAGAAATGTGTTACAATTCCCCTTCAAAATAAGGAACAGAGAATATAAGGTATAATTCAAAGTAAAATTTCAGTCAGCTATGAAGGCCAGGTCTGGGGAAAGTCTGGACAGCATGAAGGAAATGGAGGCGGGAGGAAGCAACGAGAAGTGAAGGCTGGACATCTGACCCTGGTCCTCAGACTCTGCCCTCACCCCGTCGCCCGGTCTCCTGCGCCCAGCGTCCTGAGCCCCAAGGGCCAGACCCCTAGATCTAAGCAATCAATACCCCTACGGAGTGCCTTCTACCCCTTTTCACTTTAACCCCACGTGAGGCACCTTTCCCACCAATCACACTAAGTGATCACAGGGCTTTTGGATTTAGTTCCGGCTCTGCACTACTTCAGACACCCGGATTTGATTTTGGCGTCCCTTGTAAAGTTCTCCTCAAATTATCTTTTTTTTTTTGTTTGTGTTTACCTTGACAAATTTCTAGTTTCTCTGCTGTTGTCTGGGTTATATTCCTTACCTTTTATTTTTCTTTAAAGATGTCTGAACGCATTTAAGAAGGCAAGCTGAGGATGAAATGAAATTAAACCATTTTGCTCTTAGGCAATTCAGTGAGAAAGGTTGGACCATTAAGCTGAACACCTATACCTTCTATCCATTTCCTCCTTCCTTCCTATTATGGCTAATTCACTGCTCACCAAGACATACTTACGAAGCAGGTAAGATGCACTCATATCAACTAATTCATTCAATTTCCTGGAGTCAACAGGATTGAAAGTCCTCAAACCCTTAAGTATAATCATATGACTAAATTAAGTGTTTAGCAATTCCCTGGTAACAAATAAAACTACTGGTTTCTCTGGAAGAAAGTTTAGAGTACAACAATTTAAAGAATAAAAGTTAAGAAACAAGACTGTATACAGACATTTATTGCTTTTATGCTACTAATGAGTTGTAAGACCTTGGACAAGTCACTTAAATTCACTGGATCTCAAGTTTTCTCTATAAAATGACTGTATTGTACGAGAGGTTCCTTCAAGGTGAAATATTCTACGATCTTATGTGACCGTTTTAGAACCAGCCACATGTACTCTGAAGTCATGAAGTGATGTTATTCTACCCACCCACTCCTGATGTGATTGGAGTTACAGCATTAGAGTGTTACAGGATCCCACTTTCACCAAATTACACTGTGTTCGGAGCACTGAGGGGTAGTAATACATCCTTAGTAACTGTTTCCATCCTATAAAAACAAACCTCCAATCCTGCTATAAAATTAGTTAAGAAAAGAATATGAGGTTCATGCCAGCTCGTTTTAGTAACTCCAGAGGTAACAAATGTGCAATGACTTTCTCATGAAGAAAAATATTTCAAATAGTACTAAGTTTAGATTTTAAGAGGATTTGGTTTTTGTCATATTAGTTTAATAATCTATAATTTGGCCCATTATTTAGAAGAATATTATAAAATGAAGCGTTAAAAAGTACTGCAGAAGAAAACACAAGTAAATGCATAAAACTATTTTATAATCACAGGGCTATTCTTTGCTAAATAGAAACTCATCTGAAGAAAAACTTGTTACGAGGCCTACAGCAGCACTGACGGTTTCATTTAATTTCCAGTGTCCATCAAATAAGTCTTATTCGTTGTTCTAAACGTACCCTCCATTATCTCTGACTCCGGACAAAGACTCTTCCCTTACCGTGGGCTGTTTCGGGACTCTGAAGCATACTATATTCATTCTGAGAGGGGCTAATACCAAGGTCATGCTATTCCCAGGCACTTCTAAACCCAGCTGGAAACAACCATCGTCTTACCCCCATTTAATCTTCAGTTAACAAATACTGTATCCGGTCTTCATTAGCAACTGTCCATCCTGCCCTCTGCACTGAAAGCCAACTCCTCATTAAGTCATGGTTTTTCCCATTAATTGTTTACATCCCCTTCCTTCACTAAAGACACATTTCAGCCACATCAACAGACTATCACTGCTCTGGACTGACAGCTTTTTCTAATTCTGATTTAGGAAGTATTTCAATTCATTGCAGAGATTGTTTTTTCTTATCCTTTTGTCCTGAAAACTGGTTAAAAGACAATATGGGCTGTCTAAATGTCAAGAGGAATCCCTAGGTGATGCAAAGGATTAATGTGCTAGGCTGCTAACCAAAAGATTGGAGGTTTGAGTCCACCCAGAGGTGCCTCGGAAGAAAGGCCTGGCAATCTACTTCTGAAAATCAGCCACTGGAAACCCTTTGGGGCACAGTCCTACTCTGACACACATGGGCTGCTGTGAGTCACAGTCAACAGCACCTGTTTTTGTATTCTGAAATATCAAGAGACTAACTGATGGTAGTTTCCACAGCCAGTGACAGGTCCTTAAAAATTTAAATTTACATTCTCCTACAGGTGCAGTTTCCAGCTAATCTACTGTCCAAAGCAGGACCTTGAGATAAAAGAGGGGATCTGTTAACAATCAGGCCAAGACTACCAGCATAAAGCAGGACTATCACTGTCGCAGGCTCTCAGGACCTATGGTTACCCCATTCAACTGTATTAGGGCTCTCCTAATTAGTTTTCTTACAATTTTCACACTATTCAGTTCAAGGATTAGGCACTTTGTATTATAAAGACTCCATTCAAAAAAAGAAAAATTTTCATGGGAATTAAACTGGAATTCTAGTGGTAAAAGATGAGAA